AGAAAGGTTCACCTGGAATTCTCCAGGAAAACTGGGAGATAGGCAAGGGCTCATGGGAAGCTGATAAAGCTGCACCATACTACGTGCCACCACGTATAAAGGAAAATATCCGGCATTTTCCATACAGAACCAAGGAAAATAGCCTACTGATTCCGTCTTCCACAGGAAAACCAGCGCATGTGGAGCCTGATCGAGAGGCCGCTCCGAGCAAACTCACAATGCACGTTGTTTGCTCGCTCTTTGATCTCATGTCTTTTTTGCTGTAGCCGTTGCTTTGGCCGGTTGTTCGTTGTTCCCTCTAGCAACCTTTAACAGCGGCGGCAATAGTACTGCGATGAAGCTCACAATAGTTGGCGGGATTTGGCGAAGGCCCAGGACAAAACGAAGATATCCCCTGGTAGCAGCGACATGGTCACTCACCATGTTGCCAGAATGCGGTTGACGGGAAGCATTCGGCAATGGCTGAGTCATCCAATGGTCTGTCCCATGACATGCCACAATCATCGAGTGAGTATATCTTCCAGCACTTGTGAATATGTCATCCGTGAATGTTCATCATCATTAAACATGTGAAACATCCTTTGTACTGCGAATGTTCCCTGCCTCTTCCCTGCCGAGATCGGCAGGTGGGTTCCCAGCTGCCCACCTCGGGCGGTCTGCCGATGCCCTCGCCGGACGAGCCTGCCGGGCCGGTGGAGAAGTCCCCCGGACTCGCCGAGCCGGTGAGTCAGAGCCAGTCAGTGGCTCCGAACGAGAACCAGAGCCGCAGTGACAAAGATCCAGATGCATCTTCAGAGGGTGGAACACTGAGTGTTTTTATGTTGTTTTTATGATTTTTGAACATGTTCTTACACTGATGCGCTGGCACTGGAAAGCATCTAGACATGAACAACTGCCTGGTGGAAGTTGGTGAAGACTGAGGCTCTAAGAATCCTTTGCTGAAGTTTACCACCAAGGTGGGTATCTATTTAGGTTTCTTGCCCGGCACAGCTGCCCCGCCGGCATCCACGGGCTGACGCCCACCGGCCACGTGGCAGGAGCTCCTGGAACTCGCAAGGTCTCGTGGGGTCTGGAGCTTGGGTGCCGTGGGTGGACATCGCTTCGCCATGGATTGCGCAGTGAAAATGACAAGACAACGAAGACAAGAAAGACACAAGTGAGTGATGAGTCATGTAAAGCCATTCATATTCATCATCATCATCATCATCATCATCAAAACATATTCCAACATCATCCAACTACGGCCTAGAGCTTTTCCTCAGGTGGATGTCCGTGGTTGTGTGGAGAAGAGCGCTGCCGACCTGTTGACACCTGCTTTGCTAATTTACTGGTCAATCTGCGTCCAGGGACCCCCCTAGCGCCTATATTACTATACAGCTTGAACCTGGAACGAATAGGTGTGTATTGACATGGGAAGGCCTAAAACCCCTCCGGCACCTGTGAAAAATGATCCCTGTTGCTACCGGTTAGCTAAAATGAGTGTGGTCAACCACGGAAAACCATGGAATACCATGGAATACCCATTTTATGTGTCTCTTTTTTTGACTCATTTAGTTTAAGGGTTTTCATGTTTTTTCTAAAAATGGTCTTATATATATATAATGGATGACATGGATGAACTCTTTGCACAGTCAAATTAGCCAGTCACAACAGAAAGTGGTGTTCTTGTTGCACTTTGAAACAGAATGAGATGTATAGATCTGAAAGTCTCACCAGTTGGGGAGGTGAACCTCAGTCGTCGGTAGCAAACAGGGATTAAACATGCCAAGGGTTTGGGGCCTCCATGGGGCTCCCTATTCATCCCCCTTATTGGGGCACGCACCCAACCGTGCTCTCACCCGGTGGCCGACTCGTCCGGTGGCGATCGTTCAGGCGATATCGTGGACCGACTCACCCGAGCTCCACGGGTCTGCAGCTCGGAGGGAGGGACCGGTTGTAGTTTGGCAGGTCAAGAGTGCTTTGGATGTGTTTTTGGTAAAGCACATGTGTTCGGCACATGTGTTCGGCTGTGTCCTTGCGCTTCTTTTGGCTGTGTCCGCATGTAATTGGATGTGTTTGTTTTGCTTTCTTGTAGAGTAAGTACCTGTGGTTTGGACGTTGGAGTTTCGTCATGTTTTGTTTGTCCCCTCTTAGTGACTTCGTGCCAAATCTAGATGCTCACTGAGATACAAAGTGCCGGCTTTGTACACAAAAATACGTATATAAAAGTTACACTGTACTCAGTACTCCTTTGTTTCTTCTTTTGCTCATCTCAGGTACCTCCATCTCCGGCACAGCAAAGCCGTCCGGCACAGCAAGGCGTTCGTCGACTCTTTCGACTCGTACACCTTGTCACTCCTTCCGCCCAATGGAATGAATGCGCCCAACGAGGCGTTCCTCCCAAGCCACCCATGCAGGGGACCCCCAGACGGCTCGGGTCGACTCACTCGCTAAGACGGATTCAACGCTGAGGGCCAAGCCACCGACGCGGACATCCAGCTTTCAGGAGGGAACTGGGAGACGGCGGGAGCTAGAGGGGGATGAAAAAGGATGGTTTGTGTCCATCATGATCAAGTCATTCCAGGCCAGCAAGCCACCTCCAAGTGCCCCTGCGCCCAAGCCTTAGTACAATGCGTAGTTTTGTAGAAAGCTATAAAATATAAATATATATATATAGGTCGTTTAATTTGTGTGTTTTAAATATTATATGTATATATATATACATGCATGACTTGGGGGCTTATTGACCTGGATACTGCCTCACTCGCAACGATCCACTCTAAGATATCCACGTAGGACCTGGATACAGCCATGTGAAAAATCGAGCCAGTGGCCGCAAGCGGCATCGTGAGAGCTACTCGTAGGGTGGTCCGGATTGAGGCCAAAGCCTGCAGCAAAACGACCGGCGAAGGCACATGGCACGAATCAAGCTTGGGCATTGTTTAAACCCATATTAAAAGCCTTAATTGCACGTAGCCAGAACAGATCCTTGTCAATCTTTGCTGTCCCTAGGTTGCCCGTCGACCCCCTGCAAACGTGATGCCAGATCCTGGCAATCAATCGGCTGCAGCCTCAAACTTGAGACATTTGTAGCATCGCTATTAGGTTGGAGGCCATTGCCTCTAGGGTGGAGGCCATTCCAATTAGGTTGGCGCTTTTGAAGTCAGAGCCTCAAGGCTCCACCCCTACGCCATCCTGGCGAGATTCCGGATGGCTGGAGTGCCAGGGTTCAAACTTGGTCGAAGCCTCGAGAACCAGTGCCAACCGGATCCGCACTGCCACACCACACTGCCAGCGACCGCCCCCCTGCTTTGCACACCCGCAGCGAGGTTCGGAAGGTACCCGGGCTTTTCGGCCATGCTGCCACCAGAAGCCGAGATGTGGACGGACCAGGAGCTTGATGCTCGGACCCTGGCTTCCACAAAATTGGGCTTCGATCGTTTGAAACGGAGGAATGAAGCTGAAAGAGGTGTGCACTGGAATAGGGAGACCTCTCAGAACCTTCGAGCAGCAGGAGACTAAAAAGCATTGGAGTGTAGGCTCTCTCGATTCTAGCACGCTTAATTCATTTGGAAATGAGGAGGGGCTATTTGTAATTACATGCTCAAACTTGTTCGATCCTTTTCATATGTGACAATCTTGTTGTCCATCCGTACGTGTAGGAAAGGATATCTCACATCCTGTGCCATTGAAAGAAGAACACCTCATGTTGATCTCGATCTTGCACCTTTGTTGATGTTCCTCAGGTCTACTTTGGCAGCAATGGGGACATCTGGTGATCTCCTCAGCGAACCCTCTTCACCGATGACTTGATTGACTTGCATGAAAGGGGAGTTGCCATTGGTCGCTTTCATGAGGCCTCGGGGGAAAAGACCTGCATGGTCTTCTGCCTCAGTCTTCACAGATGCGGGCAGAAGCGTTGTCCAGTTTTTTGTTCCGCAAGAAGCTACTAGTAGCAAGAAGCTACTAGGTTGGAGGCCACCCCTTCTAGGTTGGAGGCCATCGCTACTAGGTTGGAGGCCATCGCTACTAGGTTGGAGGCCATCCATCGCCACTAGGTTGGAGGCCATCGC